GAGAGAGAGAGAGAGAGAGAGAGAGAGAGAGAGAGAGAGAGAGAGAGAGAGAGAGAGAGATTTTCACCTTCCGTCTTGCTTACCAGAAATTGTTTTTCCAAAATAGTTTGCCGATGTCTTAGGGACCCGTATACTCCACTCAATGGGGACATCACATGGAGTGATCCTCACCGTGAAGAATGCAGAGATCTTGCTTTCTTTTGGAACAAAATAGCACCTGGAAACGATTGGATGTTGTTTTTCATTTTACATCACAGAAGGCAGAAAAAACTCCCCCCAAATGATTTTAACGTAAATGATGCGGTCAGAATTTAATGGAATCGTTTAGCTAAAAGAATTCCTGTGAATATTTTATTTTGGAAACGTAAGTTTGATCAATCTCAAGAGAATCAAAGCACCTTCCCATAAAGGTGGGAAGGGCAGAGCTCCATGGGAAGTTGGTTTTTGAAAACCTTCTCCGAGGTCCGTGGCAAAACAACACTTCGTTGCTGAAGTTATTCCCTCTGAACACAGTTTGGGAAACTGAGGGATGTCATAAAACAAACCTTTGGACAGAAGACCTTAATCTCAAACCCATAAACAGAAATCGTTCTGTAGAAGAAAGTGACTGTGGAATCTACCCAAAATGGAAAGGAAAGAACGGGCGCCTCACCGTTGAGGTGTCCCTTTTGAGAGAAAGATTGTCATTTCCTTGCCCTCTGCAAGCATGAACATCTGATAGAAGTGGAACATCTCATTCTTCAGGTTTTGCTGTAAACCAACAACCGTGATTAAAGGATGGCTGAAGCACATGACCAGAAGAAACCAGGAAGGCAGGCACATCTGTGGTCCAGACATCTTCTCTGCTGCAGACCTGGGAGATAATAAGACCCTGAGTGGGCTTTCTTAAACGTAATGGACTGTTAATCAGCAATTCAAGCACTACAGATGACAAAGAAGAAAGGACTCACTGGAGAAGAGCCTAATGCTGGGAAAGATGGAAGGCAATAGAAGAAGGGGATGACAGAGAATGAGGTGGCTGGATGGAGTCACTGAAGCAGTAGGCATGAACTTAAATGGATTCTAGAAGATGGTATAGGACAGGAAGGCCTGGAGGAACGTTGTCCATGGGGGTTGCAATGGGTTGGCCATGACTTCACAACTAATAACAATAACAAAAGACATTTTACTTGTGTTAGGTGACCATTTGGGTCCTGCCAAAATGTGATATAACTTGGAAAGCCATCTAGAATAGAGTTTGTCACTTTCCTTGATCACCAGGTGGGATGTCCAATGATTTCTAACTGCAAATGGTGGAAAGACTAAATAAGAGGTGGAGGAACAAAGTCTGTCAGAAATCAGATGGATATCATNCTCCCCTTACTTCCTACCTCTTCCCCTCTCCCTCCCTCCCTCCCTCCCTCCCTTCCTTCCTTCTGAATTTGCTTTGATGTACTCTCTTTCCTTCCTCCATGTCTTGGCCTAGGACTTTCACAGGATCCTTTATAGCTGACCATTCATTATTGGAATCGAAGCCCACACATTTTAACATTGCCAGCATTTATTCTCATTTTTCGAATGGGGAAAGAAAGACCTAGCGTGGCCGTGACGGTGAAAGGAGCTTCTGATGGAAAAGGGAGCTGAGCTCATCTCTAACCCTCCGAAGGTCCTGGATCACGTCGGCTGCCCATCAATCTCTCTACATGTTGGCAGGGGAAGAACTTCAGAAGTTTCTTACTGCTCTTTTCCACTGGGAGGCTAAGTTGCGGTTCTGTTCCTAACTTCTGGAAAGGAGCTCCACTGGATCTAGCTGGGATCCTACTACAAGACACACCCACTCTTCACCGCCTTTGTTTGGGTGTCTTAACCCGGACTAAGCTATTGCATGATGTTACTCTTGCTTTGACTAATATTGTACCGCCCTCTAGCGATCGTATTTCTCCTTTTATATTCTCTTTGCAGTCCCGTAGACTTTGTCTCCCACGAACTTTCTGACAGCCGTTAAACTGGAAGACAAAGCAAAAGGATTTGACCTTACAAAAGAGGCATCCTTCAGGTTTTTGATTTTGTAGGCTTGGGTTCGAAAAAGAATGATTTAATTCCCGGGGCAGGTGTTTTGTTATCGGGAGGAGCCTCTGGATCAAAGGAGAGGGGCGATAGGGGGCAAATCTATTTTTCCAAGCTCGGGTGTCCGTTTCAGACCTTGCCATTTCAAACACAATTGTGTGTCCTCAGTTCATTCTGATGTTGCTTTTGTCTGGTGTTTCTCCAGTTTTACCTCTGCTCGGTTGTTTGAAGAGGCTCAGCATCTCTTCCTTGTCTTCACCACTTTGCTGTAATAGCGGATGGGGATCCCCGAGGATCCAACGAGATACACATCGAAAAGGTAGGCCGTCCCTGCTTCCAGGCCCCTAATGGTTTCGGTAGTCACAGCTCGCCGCAGATTGAGACCGTGGAAGAATTTGCAGAGCACTTTTTCGCTCTTCTGCCTTGACTCTGGCCCAGAGCACCGATCAACCTTCCGGGTGGCCACCCAGGTTTGGTCCTCCTCAATCTCCTTCTTGTAGATGCAATACTTGCTCAGTTCCTGAGTTCCAAGCCAGGCGATGGTGACGGAATGGCAGCTTCTCAGTTTGTTCAAGGATCTGATTTTTAAACTCTCTGGCAGAGCTGGGAAGAAAGGCCTGTGGAAGAGAGAGGACACCTGAACCTTCACGGATGCAGCTGAAGTCTCAGTGGACCGGAGATGGACCAGGTAGGTATCTCCCAACCTTCCTTTCAGGGTGAAGTGCCTCAAGCCAGCAAATCTCTCTGACATCAGCACTTCCCCGCCCTTGGATATTTCCAAATAGAGTTGCCCACTGCAAGACTGGAAGGCAAATTGAACCCGCTTCTGCATTGCCTGGTACAGTAAATTGTAAAAGGGCCATTTCCTGCCATCCAGTCTCAGCTGAATCATCTTCCCGTCCTTCAGTTTGCTCACATTGGGCTCAGGATTTCCAAGAGTGCGGGCAAAGGTTCCGGTGTAAGCAGCACTGGTGTTGGTGAGGAAATTGACGGCAAAAACATCAAAGTAGTACTGAACGCCAGGAGTCAGGTGGGACACTGTGTAGGTGTTTGCGAGTCCCACACAGACTTGTTTCACTCGTGCGTCGCTACCTGTGTCACTTATGCTGAATTCGCTCTTGGACGGGGCCTGCAGTTCCTGAGATGTGAGGCTACCTGCGGAGGGAGAGACCACCAAAGTAGGAGACCGTTTCACCCCCGAAGGTTGCGTTGCCGTTTCTGCTGCACATAAAGACTTGAAATTGTAGTTTTCATTCGCCAGGAGACAATAATGAATGTTTCCTTGGGGTGGCAGGGCACTTGGACTCTGCTTCCAAGCCAGAGTTACTGCGGTGGGGCCAATCCCAACGACGTCAATGCGGGGATCCATTGGCAGTTCCGGGTAAAAGTGATCAGATTTGGGGTGTGTGGTCAAATATGCTTTAATCTGGGTGTCTCTCTCAATGGAGAGGAATTCAAGCATGTAGACTGTGGAAAGGTGAGACGCCCCTGTGTAGGTTTCCACCGAGTTGCCTCGATAACTAAAGAGAGTCCACGCCATCTTGGGGCCCTTTTGGAATCGGAGGACTTCCTGAGCGTTCGAATTATCTGTCGATGAAACAGAAGATGGGAAAGCTTTTAAAGTTGACAAGAGATGAGAAAGGCACACATTGACCAGTGAATACAATGTAAGATACCTTGAGGAAGTCTACACTTTTGTCTGTTTTGGTTCTGGGAATCTGAAAACAACCTTCAGGTCATATTTAAGTTGAGCTTGAAGTCTATGTAATTTTCCAGAGAGTACAATGGAAGCGGTTTCTGTTGCTGCCTTCTGCAATTGTTTTTTTTTTTTTTACTTTCTAGTCTAGGCTACCTCTTGGAGTCTCCCTTCCAAATATTAACCAGGCCTGATCCTGCTTAGCTTCCAGTCCCAGCAGGGATTTTGCTGGTGCTGAGACTTTTAATATTAAAAGTTTTAATTATGGATAGAAACCTTGTTGGTTAATAGTTGGTACAAATCAGATTCCAAATGAATCTTAAGACAATCTTCCTTTCATACACTATCTAGATCTTGTTAAGAGAAATGGAATGGAAGAAGGAAAAGCTGAGAGAGAGAGAGAGAGAGAGAGAGAGAGAGAGAGAGAGAGAGAGAGAGAGAGAGAGAGATTTTCACCTTCCGTCTTGCTTACCAGAAATTGTTTTTCCAAAATAGTTTGCCGATGTCTTAGGGACCCGTATACTCCACTCAATGGGGACATCACATGGAGTGATCCTCACCGTGAAGAATGCAGAGANACAAAAGACATTTTACTTGTGTTAGGTGACCATTTGGGTCCTGCCAAAATGTGATATAACTTGGAAAGCCATCTAGAATAGAGTTTGTCACTTTCCTTGATCACCAGGTGGGATGTCCAATGATTTCTAACTGCAAATGGTGGAAAGACTAAATAAGAGGTGGAGGAACAAAGTCTGTCAGAAATCAGATGGATATCATCTGTGACCAGCTGTTTGGAAACAGCCCTTGTTCTTTCCTTCTCCCTTTTCTCTTCAGTGGATCCTCCAGGAAAAAAAAATCACCGGTTCTACAATCATGTCCGTTCCTTCCAATGGCAGTGTGATTCCTTTCTTGTGTGCTGACACATTTATTACCTACACTTTTTAAGGAGACTTGAGGGTGTGAGTCACTTGGTTAGGAAAGAATATTATTTTAAATGTCAGGAAAGGAAGAAAAGGAGAGAAGCGTGATGATGAGAAGGACCAAGATTTGAAAGCAGAGGATACTGTAGTTGTGTCTGCAGGCAGGGGGTGCTATTAGGACAGCGTGAGAGGCAGTCCCTTAAGCTGATCTACATGTTAAATAAAGAATTTTCTTTTTTTTAAAAAAAATCTGGTTTGCAAGCCATCGAAGCGGTTTGCAAGCCATTGAACATTAGAACCAGAAACTCACTTTTGAAACTGTATTTTTTTTAAAAAAAATATTACTTTGTGAGACTAAAATAATTATCCACAATATCAGCGATGTTCCATAATACTTTAAAAAAATTAAATTGTAAGTAACATTTGATTCTACATTTTAGTGTATAGATATTCATTTTCCTTTGAGGTTTTAAGTGACAAAAATTTGGTTTGAGCAGGTTAAATAAGTCATAAAATATGAAAAAAAAATGTCCTAACCAACTTGTTTTGCAGCATATTCAAAACCTTTTATAATAGTCTCCAGAACTTATTATATATATATATATATATTATATTATATTATTATATATTATATATATTGAAATGGCTTTTTTCCCAAGTTTCCTGGATCATGTTCTCTTATGACAGAAATGTCTGAAGCTCTTTATATGGTAATTAAACCAGGATTTTGTATGGGTGCTGCCATCTGAAAGTAATATATTGAAAAGTCTGAGGAAGACAGATCTCCTAGATGTAAGAAATGTAACATGTAAATTTAATGTAACATGTAAATTTAAATTTACATGTAAATTTTTTACATGTAAATGTAAGAAATGTAACATGTAAATGTTAAAATGTAAATGTAACAAAGGAAACAGATTTAGCCTAAACAGATTGGTTAAATAAATCACTCTTAACAACTTAAACGAAACAAGGGAGATGGGCAACGTGCTATTTTATTCCTCTTACCTTGCGCCAGATGTTCTCAGGTAATTCTGCGCAAAGCTTCAGAGCGACAACTGCTGAGCTAGATTTTTGGAGAGCTTTGCTGGCAGATGTAAAAGCATCACCAAGAAACATATTCAGCTGGGCAAAAAACGACCTTCTTGAGAGATTTCAAAGCAGAAGGATTCCTTGAGAGGAGAAAGGATTCTTGTGTTGTTTTTCTTTAGATGGGAAGATCTTTGAAAGCTGAAGGTCTCCTTCTAAGGGTTCCTCCAAGGAAGTTGCAGCCCTGATTTCCTGAAAGTCCTCTGCAGAGGGAGGTGGAGAGGAGCTGGAGGGCTTAGAAGGAGGCCAGACCCCAGGGTGGCTGCTTAAAGAGGGTCTTTGGCAGAAACAGGGAAGAGGGTCAGTGGGTAGATGTGTTCGTTTAACCCTTTCGTAGGGCTAGCTCGCCTAAAGTTGTCTCTTCTCCTCCCTACTCGGTCTAGGGGATTGGATGGGTTTGACCTACATCCAGAAATATGTTCAGCCAAAATCGAGTCCAGGCAAGATGTCTCTGGTAGAACTGAGCTTTCAGTCTTTGGAATAAAATCTCTTATGCATCAAAAAAGAAAAAAAAAGGAGGGGGGTGTTAATATTTCTGTAGGTGCAGTATTTTGATTTTTCTAGTCAAATCAACCTTTATGGTCAAAGTACAACATGTGTACAATGAGATTGGCTAAGCCTCCTTTCGTGCACCCCCCCAAACACAACTCACAATGACAACAAACACACAATCCCATTGCACAACGCGCCGGCCCCGCAAGTCTATCATACATGGAGTCATTTCCCATTCAGGAGTCTGACAGCCCATGGGTAGAAACTGTTCTTCAGCCTGTTGGTGCGGCTGGCTATGCTTCTATATCTCCTACACCCGATGGTAGGAGAGAGTAAAGAAGTGATGACCAGGGTGTGAGTTGTCCCTGAGGATTTTCCTCACTCTTCTGAGGCAGCGGGCCCTAGCGATGTCGTCTAGTGGTGTCAGGGGACAGTCTACGATGTTTTGTGCTGTGCTCACCGCCCTCTGTAGTGTCTTTCTATCCGCGGCTGTCAAGCCAGCATACCACACCATAATGCAGTGTGAGATGATGCTTTCTATGGTGGACCGGTAGAAGAAGGTCATCAGTCGTCGTTCCACTTTGTTCTTTCACATATAATCCATACCTTAAAGACATTAAGTAACATAGCCCATACCTTAAAGCTTTAGTAAGAACACACTTGAAATACTGCATCCAGTTCTGGTCACCACAATACAAAAAAGATGTTGAGACTCTGGAAAGAGTGCAGACAAGAGCAACAAAAAATGTTTAGGGGGATGGAGGCTAAAATGTATGAAGAATGGTTACCAGAATTGAGTATCTCTAGAGTCTAATGGAAAGAAAGACTAGGGGTGACATGATAGCCGTGTCCCAATGTTTGAAGGGCTCCTACAAAGATGAGGGGGTCAAACTATTTTCCAAAGCACTCAAAGGCAAGACAAGAAACAATGGTTGGAAACTAACCAAGGAGAGAAGCAACCTAGAACTAAGGAGAATTTTCCTAATGATGAGAGCAATCAACCAGGCAATCAACTTGCCTTCAGAAGTTGTGGGTGCTACATTGCTGAAGTCAAAAAAACCCTGGAAAACCATTTGTCTGAAATGGTATATGGTCTCCTGCTCAAGCAGGGGGTTGGATTAGAAGACCTCCAAGTCTTTTATTCTATGTTCTATGACACAAAAGAGAATTTGTAGCTCTCCGGGTACAGCTAGACAAGAATTCCCATGATCCTTTCCATCCAGTTTGCTGACTAAAGATGTTGGGGATTGTCATTCATCTACATCTGGATGAACCTTCCCATGCTAAGGTCATTACCTAAACTGTGCAACATGTGCAGATCAACAGCTAAGATGGAGCGTCAGCCAAAATCAAGAGAAACGAGTTTTGATTTGCCGAAATACCAAGTCAGGATGCAGGGGTGATGTTGAAATGAATTGGAGGTCAATTTGTGTTACTCGAGCTTCTTGTGCTAATTGGGAATTGTGGGTGCCAAGAAAACTGAGGGAAGGACACCTCCAAAATAAGTAACCTCATGACTAAGCCAGACAATGGTACCATATAGTTTAATCTCAGTAAAACAGGTGAGCATCTGTTTTATGAAAATCATTTATTAAAAATGTGTTGCAGCTGCACCTGAAATATATTTGTTCATATGTAAATCTTATTTTTTAAAATGTAAATCTTATTTTGATTATCCTCACTGTTCAGAGTGACTCACTGGAACCAACTCTTGGAAATGCTGTCGTTAACAAGTTTCCTATGATGAGATGTTTAGACTTGGCCTCCAGACTCCTTTCCTCATTAAAATCTCCAGGATGAGCAAATGGAAGAGAAAATGTCTTCTGTGATGGGTAAGAATGGCTTTCTCTTCATGATGCTCCACTGATGCTTTTTGGGACCTGGAAGAAGAGTTGCAGCCTCATAATCCATCCTGGCTGGGTGGTCAAGCCTCAGAGAAGCGCATGAGGCAGGCAGTGGATAAGTAGAATTAAGCTGATAAGCAGGGATTATCCAGCAAATATGACTACACATTAAAAACAAGTTGTTTTCGGACTAAAAAGTCAAGATGAGTCTGAGGAGGCCTGAAAACAAACAAACAAGCTTTCAAAAGTAGAACCGGGTTTTCTGTGCTGCTTTCTTACCGTTCAAAGTTGCCTGGCTTCTTTCTCACAAGATCTCAGCTATGCTCACAAAGGTGGGATACAACCTTGATATTTCATACTAATGACACAATGATGGGGTCCCTTACCCCTCCCACTGTTGCAAACTGCTTTTGTGCCATGGATTCACTCCTATGCCCCATCAAGGCCTTGCACCGAGATGTTCTGGAGACGATGTCAATTCAGCATGATTCCAGCAGAATTTCAGTGGAAGAAAATGGACACTGGGTTTCCGTAGTACTTAGGGTTTATTACGGAATATAGATTTAGTCTCATCCTTGTTAGCCTTTCAGGAGACCCAGATAACGGCAATCTTCTACACCCATCAGGAGGCTGCACAATGGTTTTGGTAATGGATGCTCTTCTCCTACATCCTTTGGCTTTGTTTATTTTTTAGGTTTTTGACAGCTGTCAAATTGTAGGTTGTAGCTGCCCAGAATCCTTCTTTCTGTGAAATGGGCAGCCATATAAATTTGATCAATCAATCAATCAATCAATCAATCAATCAATCAATCGGTGGTCTTAAGACTAATAGGGAGTTTCTCAGCAGCTGAATGGTACCCTTGCCTTCAAAATGTGTCAGTACCAACTTAGCCACATTGTGAATATTATTATTATTATTATCATTATTATTATTATTATTGTTGTTGTTGTTGTTAATAATAATAATAATAATAATAATAATAATAATAATAATAATAATAATAATAATAATAATAATAATAATAATAATAATAAAGTTGGAAGGGACCTTGGAGATCTTCTAGTCCAGCCCCCTGCTCAGGCAGGAAACCCTATACCATTTCAGACAAATGGCTGTCCAGTCTCTTCTTAAAAACTTCCAGTGTTGGAGCATTCACCGCTTCTGGAGGCAGCTTGTTCCACTGGTTAATTGTTCTGTCAGGAAGTTTCTCCTTAGTTCTAGGTTGCTTCTCTCCTTGATCAGTTTCCATCCGTTGCTTCTTGTCCTGCCTTCAGGTGCCTTGGAGAATAGCTTGACTCCCTCTTCTTTGTGGCAGCCCCTGAGATATTGGAAGACTGCTATCATGTCCCCCCTCGTCCTTCTCTTCGTTAAACTAGACATACCCAATTCCAGCAGCCTTTCCTTATATGTTTTAGCCTCCAGTCCCCTGATCATCTTTGTTGCTCTTCTTGAGTCCCCTGTTCCTATTGCCGATGAATCCTGGAGTCCAACCTGAGAATAGATGTCTTACTCTGAGCACATCACAATTTTTCTCCATTTTTGTGCCTTTAAAAAGCCCGGGACAAGGAACGCTTGTGGTGGGCTCCATCTATCCCTCCTCCTGACAGTACCAAGCATGCAAGGAGTTAACTACTGTCCCTTTTTAAAAATGGTTATTTCCCCCCCCCCCCGGTCTTTCAGCTCCTGACACCCCATCTGTTCCAGACACCACCCTTAATTCTTCCCACTATCCTTCAGGGAAAGCAGCATAATACTTTGGAATTTTAACAATCCCGAACAGATTGGAAGCTGCATATGGACAAAAGGATTAAAAATTCAATCACATTTGCTATCTGGGCATTAGAAGCCTCAAGGCTGGCACTATGAATATTTTGCTCAGCATGGATATTAAGCAGTTACCAATCCCTCTGTCTTCCCCAGGGACCAGCAGACACAATTGTACTCCATTTCAAAAATGGAACAAATATGTTCAAATCCCACCTAGCAGATGCTGTTGATTTGGCTGACTACGGTAAGGGCAAGTCACACACGGGCTCCCGGAGATTGAAATGTAGGGGCTAAGAAGCCCATTTTGTAAAAGATGAAGACTGAAAGGACTAGGAATAGAAATGGTCTTTGTACAAATATTAGGGATTGACTCAGTCTTTCAGTCATCATTTGTTAATGTTGTGTAGTATTGATAAGGAGATAATTTTTATTAGCTGTAGCAATAATGAGAAAATACCCCTGGTAAATCTGTATTTGCATCTCATTGAAACAGGCATAGATTTTGAGACGGCATATTACATTTAAAGGGATGTCCACATCACACATCCTTCTCTGAAATTGGAATAGAAGAGAACGGAATAGAATAAGAAAATGAATAGAATAGAATAATAAAATAGAATAAGAGTTAGAATAGAACAGAACAGAATAGAATAAAAAAAAATAGAATATAATAAAATAGAATAAGAATAGAATAGAATAAGAAAACAAAATAGAATAGATTAAGAAAATGAATAGAATCAAATAAGAAAATAGAATAAGAAAGAATAGAATCGAATAAGAAAATAGAATAAGAAAATGAATAGAATTGAATGATAGAATAGAATCGAATAAGAAAATAGAATAAGAATAGAATAGAATAAGAAAATGAATAGAATAGAACAGAACAGAATAAGAAAATGAATAGAATCGAATGATAGAATAGAATAGAATAGAATAAGAAAATAGAATAGAATAAGAAAATGAATAGAATAAGAATAGAATAGAACAAGAAAATAGAATTGAATTAGAACATAGAATAAGAATTAGAAAAGAATTCATGCATATTATGGAATAGACTAACATCTCACTCCACCCCCTTGAAATAAACGAACACACAATCACAACATTAAGGGAAAAAATATTTAGAAGTTGTTTCCTTATAGGAGACTATTGTAACTGACTGGGGAATTCTGGGAGTTGAAATACACGAGTCTTAAGGTTGCTAAGGTGGGACACTTCTCCATGATCCTGAATTCATCCATCCTTTCCTTCCTTCGACAGAATATTAAGTTGACTGGGGCAACAGAAGACGCGAAGCCAATATAGAAATCTATTTGAATAATTACCAATTAGCTACTAGTCAAATTAAGCGATTAGGTATCAGGTTGCATTTGCAAAACACACTGGCTATATTGTTCCAGCTGACTCACCCATTAAAAAAAAATGTCTCTGTTCGCAATTGTTCTGAACTTCTCCACTGATCATGGCTGGCCTACAGCCCTGTCCATCAAGTGATTTAATTTCACCTCTTCTCGATGACTAAATTAAGACACATCCCTTATTCCAACTATTGGCTGTGGTTAATAACAACCACAGACGTGTGATGCAGTAGTGGCATTGTTGCATGAAAAAGGCCTCAAAAATCCAATTAGAAACCTGACAGAGTAAAGGATCAACGTCCACCTTTAGGTGTGGAAGGAGCAATGAGTTAAAAAATGTAAGTTAGCTGAAATCTTGAAAGTCAAACCCAAATTAGGCGATGGCTACCTCTAGGACTGCTAATGGAAGAAGGCTACTATAGCCCACTCTATATTACATAGCATTTCCATTCTCACACATCTCTTCAGGGCTTCTTTGCCCTTCAGACAACCTTCTCTTTTAAATGTGCAAATACATTTCAATGCCCCCAATTTATCTTCCTACTTTAAGAAGGAGGGGGGAATAGGTTTCCAATTATTTCTTGTGGAGTTTGACAGCCCACACCAGCTTGTCGCTACCACCTGCAAGGAGCTCACAGCAAGCTCTCACATTCTGAA